TTCCTACTCCACCCCTGCCCATCATTCCCTCCCCTTCCTTCTCCACCCCTGCCCATCATTCCCTCCCCTTCCTACTCCACCCCTGCCCATCATTCCCTTCTCTTCTTATTCTGGCTGTCCCATCATCCCACTAATCCAGCCCAACCATTACACCAACCTTATCCAGCATTTCATCCACTTTCTACAAACGTGTACTTTGTCCCCATGATCCTCCTCCTACAGATACCCCTCCCCCAACAAACAGCCTAATCTGTCACTTGGAGTCCCCCCCCATCCCTTACAATTTTCCCACATACTGTACATGTGCATTTGTATGTGTCTAAACACTGCCTATAGATATGCAAGTACATTAAAGGAGTGCTCAATACATAAGTACTACAGGGTTGGTACACAATACAACTCAAAACATTGACATTCAACTTTTATAATTTTTTCATTATATTCATAAGTTTCTTATCATTAATGCAACATAAGACTATTTACACACTGATGGAATTCCAAGAGGAAGCAAACAAGCGCTCAGTGGCACATTTTAACACCTACATTGTATGGACCAGCAAGGAAAAACTTCAACATTTGAGGCCAGCTGGCCAGACGGACAGAAGACGGAAATCGGTATTACATAGGCTCGCATTTGCTTCACATGTTGCCAAAAAACAAAGAGGTTTGGCCAAAACATCAGTAGACTGGGGTTTGTTAAGTGTGCAGTCTGAAGGAAATCTTTGTGAATCATCAAAGTCCAGAGGTAAACCTGCAACAGGCTGCCAGAGGCCCAAATGTACATGACATGCATACTGGGCTCAACAGCTGAAAAACAAAACAAATCCAAGCAACAAAGGGTTCCAACAATACGTGGGAACTAACCTGAACTGGGCAGCTGTCTGGACCAACTGCAAACTGTCTACTATACTGATAGCAATCAAGCATAAGTGCAGATTTTGGTGTTGAAGGAATGTGTCGGGAGCGAAATCTTTGGAATAATGACGTCTTGCCTACTCCAGCTTCTCCCAAAAGAATCACCTTGAATTGAACTGGTCTTGCATCTCTGTACTGCATCTTTGATGATTAAGTGTGTTCGATCTAAACCTCCAAAATCAAATCAAATGTTCTATTAATGATCTTCAAAATGATATATAAATAATCCACGTACATAATTATATGCCTATTCTTCAGAAATTAATCCTCACAAATGCACAGTTATGAACAAAGATGCATACAGATGTTGGTTTCTGCGGACTGGTGTTACAGTACTTACATGTATCTCCATTTATGTCTGTTCACATACTTCAAGTCTTGGCTCTTTACATCATGTCTGTCAAGCCTACGAGAATGCAACAAAATAATCGTATTAATACTGTTGTACTTGTAACTGCAGTTTGAACAACAGCAGGAAAACTCAATGAAATGTGCAGCAGAAGTATATACATGTATATCATGATACAACACATATGAAGCAAGATATGAGATGGAGAGAATCTCCCCCCCCCCGCTTTGCGTTGATCATTGTTTCACTGGAATCTGAGGAATTCCTTTCAGACATCTAGGGGGGGATGTGTTAGGTAACAAGAGTCCAGAGTGTGTATAGCAATTGAACATGTTGGGGGTACCCTTCAGTCTCATTTCTTGCTGGATATAATGCAACAGGAGGAGATGTCGTATTTAATCAAAAGGAAGCATGACAGAACCCAGTTTTGTCAAAGAATACTGAGATTATTGAATGCAAATGGCAGGATTTATGTCTACTAAAACAACAAAAATTGACAGTATATTTCATCAGCTCACCCCGGCATCCACAAAGTTGGGGGGGCATCAAAACCAACATACCCCTCCCCTGCTACGGCTATGTATGTCAAGAAATAATACAAAAGCAGAGAGTTGGTCAAAAAACGACCAATTCCTGATCCAAGACTGACCTTCCATGCGTACACATTTTAGTCTACCTTTTTCAGAAACAGACTTACAATTATTCTTCAGTGCGAAACATCGTTTCCAGAAAATATTCATTTCAAGAAAAATTTTGAAATAATGCAATCCTTCCTTGCCAACACACATGTGAGTATAGCATGCTTCCAAACAGTACTTATACCTACAGCTAGCAGGAAAGGTGCCAATGGAGATTACAACCAGATAAAGGATAGCAAAAACTGAATAATTCAACCTCAATGAAAACAGAATTTGGGGTTCAAAAATCCTGAAATCCAGAAAAACCCTGAGACATCACATCTATTCAGCAGGGCAAAGCTGTCCAATTATTGTGAATTGTCTTCAATTTTGACGGATTCAGTAAATCTGGATTTGCCATCAGTCTTCACAAAAAGATGTAGTTTTGTCTCTTTGCAACAGCTCCATCATGTTTAGTGTATTGAGACTTCCTTAGAGGTCTGTTGCATATTCGTTTAAATCTTGCAATAAAACATTAGAGTTTGTGTATTAATTGAAAACAACTTTCTCTTCAAAACTAGTGAGACAAAGTCAATTTTAGGTAAAAGGGTGAACTTTCTGCAAACCATGTGGAAACACAGGGGAAGGCAATGAGACAAGAGAAAGGTCTTTGGTGGTAGAAGGTTACCTTAAGTTACTCACATGTACATGTACAGTATGCATGGTGCACATCTGTTGGATGCAGTTGATTAGATCTATGTGATTCATTGATCGTTATGCTACAGTATCAGTCAATCTAGTGGCATGATCTGTTGGTCCTTCTACCATCAGTCAATTACACGCCATAGGGCCTTTTCTTTTGAATTCATGGATTCTGAGGTTTTCCAACAGGATTTCCTAATACTGCAATGCAATCAATCAATTATGAAGATCAACTGATTACACCAAACATACATGTATCTACATCTACATGCACATGTACATCTATGTTGAACGAAGCAATGTCTACTTCTGCATATTGCTAATGCTGGTGTCAAAAAGTATTAAAAACATAATGCTAACACAAAGACAAAGACAGACACAAAGAACGAAATTGTGACAACTTATTACAGATGCCTGACTGAAAAGGGTCATTCTGGGTAGGAAGGGCCAATTTACACAAACAGTAATGTGATTCCACACAAAAAAACATCAAACACAGTGGTTTCCTATGGGATTTTTTACTCTTGAGTGCCAAACCATGCAGTACAGTGATGATAAACCTCTATTAAGTAACTCACTATGTTTGAAATCCTGCGTTATGTTTTAGGGGGATGAGAATTTTGGTCTATGAGTTATCTTGTTAGGTATGACATCATTGATTGGCTGGGAAACTGTTGGAGGAGTAGGCAGTGCCTTGCTTTGTTGTGCCTTCAATTCTTCCTATTGAGTATCATTGTTATTGTGGGAAGTAATGACTTCCATGCCGAGCAGGTTTCATATTTGTGCGTTAATATACAATATTGCGATGTACACCACCTTCTATCATCACCTGTCTGCATGTATCAACCTGTGCTCAGAGACATTTGAGCATCATGACACCCGCTGACAATGTCTGTTCACCTATCATGTGCATGTCAAGCCCTGAAGTTAGGATGATTTAAACAAGCACCAAGTCTAGTGCACGCCTACATGTAAGTAGTAGAATCCGCTCTTTTTCTTTATTTTTGCCCGCCAGTGGCAGGCAAAACTGCAGTGAACATGGTGCATTTTGACATTTCCCTAGTCTTTCCTCCAGCGGTGTTGCCAAACCACCTGGTTGAAACCTTCAAATTAATTCAGTAAACTAATGGTACTTTTACCTTCATAATACTTGCTGATGAAACTTTGTGGACAATATCAGTGTCAAGACATTTACACCGAAATTCGAAAACAGTGGTGTTTGGAAATTGGGCACAAATTCAGCTAAGTCAAGTGTAAACCATTTCTTGCCAGGTGCTTTTAAAATGCAGTGCCAGCATATGGGCAATTTTTCAATATCTTCGTTTTTCAAAAATCTTCAAACATTTTCACCTTTTTTTCCTGAATGCCCAAACCCCATGGAGTGTTTGTCTGGTGGTGGACAAAATCTACTGATGCCAGGGTATTTCAGCCAGGCCTGTCGTCTTGTAAAAAAAGCCCAGATTGTGCGGTGTTACATACATGTAAGTTTCTGTTGTTCCCGAAACTGGCACAGTGCGCTTCTGGCATCTTTTCAATATGGGCCAGATTAGCATGCAGCAGTATTGAATCACCTCATCTCTGGGGTGCTGGAGCGCTTTTGTCCCCGGTGGTAATCCGCCCACGCTGAATGCCACAAACAGTGGTATAATCTTTCGAAACAATGATGGATTTCCTCCGCCACTGACAACTGAAAAAAGTTGGCAATTCCCAGCAGCTCTGTCTTTTGTTCCAAGTACGGTCTTTTGTTTCAAGGCCCAAGCTCTTTTATCCGATTTCAGGCACCCCAGCTAAGCGTACAAACCCAAGGCAACTGAAAACGGGCCCCCCAGCAGGATATGGTTAAAATCTCGTCATAACCACTGCGCTCAAAAATGAAGTGGTAAAGTTGCATGCTACCCTTCCCATACTAGTTCTACGAGTAGTCACTACATGACACCACCAAACACTAAACACAGTTATCAAGGGGTTTTTAGAAAGACTTCCATGCCTGTACACCGCTTGATATCCTCTACACAACCCTTATGAGACCCTAGTCTGACATGTCAGAGTAACTTGGACTGTATACATGTGTAAATTACCCTTTTCAACATTTTTACATGGTCCCAATGTTGAAAGAGGGTTAGGGTGATTCCTAGAGTCTAAGTTACTCCAACTAACAAGACTTGTCTGAAAAAATTCTAAGAAGGCTAAAAAGCCTATTTTATTTTCCCTTCTAAATTTGACAATTTAGGATATGCTATACCCTAGTTATGGCTGGTTTACCACTGGCAATGCCCTGAGGCATTATTTCAGTGGTAGTGTGTCCATATTTGAATATTTTCGCTGTCGGCATGATGACACTACGAACATTAGGGCAAATCTACCCTTTGTGCTATTCAATTATGTAGAGAAGTTCCTGGATGTCCGACTGCAAGAATAGGCCTATATGGAATTTTTACTGTTTACCTTAACATATGACAACTAATCAATACATTTTTTTGGTTCCACATATCAGAAAGTCTGAAAATAACTCCTTCTTCTATGCAGAGATTAAATTATGGAATTTTCTTCTGACACGTCTGAAACTCTATGAAAGGAAATTTGTTTTATTACATACATGTAACCGGAAGGAACTCCTTTTCACTAAAATCCAATCTAATGAATCTAATTGGAGGTAATTTTTGTGCTAATTCAATAAAGCTTTTTATTAATGTAGGAAGTTCATCACAATTAAGATTTAGATGTACTTCAATTCCACTTTCGTATTACAGATTAGCTTAAATCAATTCTCATTTTTGTGTACAGCTCAAATAAAATATTTTAAATATTCTAATCATTTTTAAAGTTGATCTTGTTCTATCTCAGTGCACATGTCTATTCTTTTTTTAAACTGATGCAGGTGTGGCATGAACACAATTAATAATGCAGATGCCCATATTTTTACATACATGTCAACGCAAATGTCAGTTTCATTTTTTTTTTAATCCAGGTGCAATCTTAAGATGTCCAATGATTTTTATGACATTAATTTGTCTTTTATATTGGTCTTTTTTATGGAAAATATTGTCTGTATTGATGTACACGTAATGAGCTTTTTGAATACTTTTTTGTTTTCAAGGACAGGTAACATAAGGGATCGCAATTGAAATAAGTTTTTGTAACATTTTGCGTTCTCCCTGCTCTTTCCACCAATGTTTTTGTTTTGTATTGTGTAGGTATATTTATTCCATTATCCATAGGCCTAGGCCTATACATTTATTCCTTTTGTTGGTTTTCATATTGTCAGTGGAAAGGCTCCATGATGTAAATAACTACAAAAATACATTTTGGTATGTTTTGAGGTAAAATTCTCACAAAATTCTGACATCAATACGACCAGGGCATGGAGGAATTCCTTCCTCCATGACCAGGGTAACATTTCTGCCACACTTTGACCACCCTTCATGTACATGTAGGTCTAGTCCCAGTAAGGGTAGTCTACAAATCACCTTTTTAACATTTGGACATGGTTGACCGTGTCAAAACAATGCCAAAACAACAAAATATTTAAAACATGATATGTGCTATGGTAGAGTCCAAATGTTAATAATCATGATAATGAGGCGATCTGCAGAGTGTCAGACTAAGCCTACCGTCATAGCTTAGGAATTTCTAGCTAGGCCCAGGCCCAGCCTGCGGTCCACCCCCNGGCCCCGGCCCCGCCCGCGGTCCCCCCCCCCCCCCCCCCCAGTTCTGGATAGCGAGCGGTCGTCGTCAGATGACAGGTACGGCCATTGGGGTTCGTCGTTCCACCTCTCAGGGAGGACAAAATTAGAACATGATGTATTACTACTAGGCAGTCAGGGAGGGGTCTATATACCTTCTCAGGCTTCTCAGGTCGGGAAACAAAGATACCGCCGACAGAAAAATCAAAGATGTTGATTGCCCCTACCGTACCCAAATTGGAAACCGCCCGCGTTAGCCTACGCATCTCACCGGCAGTGCATTCAGCCATCAGCAAAGTCGTTTCTGTTGCTTTTGTCTGTGGCTACATACAATGTGCATGTACATTATCATCTGTCACGACTAGTACTAGTACTCAGCTGTGAGATTATGTACATGTACATGTACATGTGCATGTATTGCGAGTTCACTAAACCGTAGCCATTTAGTTTTTTTATAGCCTGGTAACTGTTTCCTATTTACATTCAGTACTTATGAAATATTTACGTGACATCGGAGCCAGTCTAGTCTAGCACTGGCGCGCGGCCAGTTGAACGACGGATGTACACGTACAGTTAATGCTGTCAGTGTCACTACAGTCAGACAGTTAAGATGTCGAAAACTTTCACGGTATCTGACGTTACAGACATTGACCTGTCATCAATTTTAAACAAATTAGGTAAGATCAGGAACAGAAATTGAAGTAGCATGTGTGTAACCGTTGCAACAAACGTAAGCAGGCTTAAGTCATCAGTGGAACTGAAGCATATTTTGGTGAAACATTGCCATGCCATTCTGAGGATTCTACTTCATGCTATTAATTATTGCTAGGCCCAGTACTTCGGCCTGTCAGTTATGTCTACCATGTCTACATGAAAAAAATTGTCTAACGTGTCAGGCCCTATCTTCAAGTTCAGTTCTTCAGATGTTGCTGCTAGCTGCTTGCAGTCTATGCTCATAACACGACAAAAGCCTAGCCCATTCATGTAGCCAGGGATATTGTATAATCGGAGGAAAGAATTCCGTAATACAGACAACACTTATTTTCTGGAGTAGGCCTAATACAAACAAACCTTTTCGACGTTCACGATGTATTGTGGATTTGGATGACATACATGCAATCCATTTTATGCACAACCCTATGGGAGAAGTGTACCTGCAAAAAGTTAATCCGTTTCCATTTTATTTCATACTCCAATTTAAGCCACCCCCTTCTGACAAAGTGTTGCATCATTGATTTGGGATGAAGATATTCACAAACTTCGAAGTTTAAATCTTGGCAGAGAAGGAAACTTCAGAGAATTCCTTCCAACAACATCACTTTTTGTCGTGGACCGTGATTTGACCAATTTGTGAATATTAGCATAATCTAGTAGGTTATTGTCCAATCAAAATTACAACTTGCAGCTCATGATTTATCCCGCTTTGACCAGTCACGTTCATTTTCAGCCTGTAGAGTGACTGGTGCTCTTAAAAAAGGGATTTAAGGGTGATTTGTTCTTACAAATATTTGAAAACGTATTTGAAAATGTTTCTTGTATAATATGCATGCATCTGTGAGTTGATGAGCTGATACATGTACATGTACGTAAAAAATATTTAGTAGAAAACTGTAACTTGATTTTTGACTGGTTCACTTCTCCTATAGGGTTGTGCATAAAATGCATCACATGTTTGTCATCCACACCCCTAATGCATTGCGAACATCGAAAAGGTTTATTGCAGAATACCCAGCCACTCTAAAAAAAACAACCCTTGGAATGAGTGGTTACGTTGTTAGTAGGTGAAAATCGTTGATCATGCGGGATGGTGGGGCATTCTGCGGTTCAGTTGAGCTTTTTTGAATTAAGATTTCATAGCTTTTTAGCTGTTTGCAGCTTTTATGTAAGCAGCATGTTTTGTGTATTGCCACTCACAGTACAGTCATTAGCAAAAGTTCAGGACCACCCATAGAAAATGCATTTACCTGAGGGAAACCAAACTTAAACCAATCAATCGTGGCAACTTATTTTTATTTTCAATGTGTAACCTTGGTGCCTTGGTTGGACATTTTTGACTACATTTCCATGATTTGACATGTTACCAGTCTAATATTCAGCATTACCTCCTTTATTTCTGATTGCTTAGACTGGCTTTTATTTCCCAGCTGCCTCACAGACAAAATGTCATACAAGACCTGCCTTTGCAAAAAAGTCATTTAAATGGGTATAGCACTACACAGTTGTTATGCACCATTGTAAAATCATGTCAAGTAATCATTCAGTGAGACAATGTAATGCAGGCCCAGTGACGGAAATACCAATAAATTTCCAGGTGGTCTTAAACTTTTGCAAATGACTGTATGAGTCATACTACTACTACTAGTATTACTGGCCCTGCTGGACGATGCTCAGACATGTCAGACTGGCGGTGTAAATGTAGTTAGCCTATCGCCTACTTATTCCTGGTTTAACTTTCAACATTCAATGTTAAACAAGTACATGTAGGCCTAACCATTTGATGTTAAACGTTGAAGAAGTAACAGTTTTACATTTGAAAAGTGCTCAGGACTGTACACATCCCTAGAAATGATGTTGTGCAAAAGGGACAATAAAGCGAACTGTGCTACATGTACATTTGACGGCTTGTTTGACCATTGTCGCTGAAAAACCCCATTCCCCGGGTTGTAAGGAATCGTCGGTGATTAAGGAGAACTACAGTACATGCACTTCCAAAACTGTAAGGTTTAGGCCTCTACAAATAGCCGTGTACAAACTTACATAAACACGTTTTAGCTGTTTGATTGATTGTGCCAACTTACCCTTCCATCACAGCTATTTGTGCAACCAAATTTCATACGTGCCGTCTTGGTGAAGTTAAATAGGGATGTTATTCACTTTATATAAACCTGTCACAGTTCTGGAAGTAAAAGAGAACAGTGAGATTGAGTTGAGTTATAGGGCCAACACTAATGTTCCCTTAAAATGTTATAACAGCCATCAGAAAACGATAACATCATGGCTCGCAGAATCGGTAGTCCGACGTCTTGTGACAACCAAAATATTTTGTCGGAAAACCAAATGTTCCAGGCTGCCAGCCTAACGGGCAGGTACAGTACCTGTTTTCAGCAACCCATTTTTTGCATTGCATTTCAGCACTGTGTACAGAAAACAGATCACAAGAAAAGACTGTAAAAAAGATTGACATCCTAACCTTGATGTTGCACAACTGTAATTGTTGGGGTACATGTCGGTGCACCGTGGTACATCCGGTCCTATCATGCACCATGATATGTGCAGTTGAATCGTTGGCATGAACAATGCAGCGCCCACAGTCCCGTCTATATTCAGTCATTTTTCTGGTTCCGAATCACAAAAATTATATTCAGTCATATTACAGCTTAATTATCTTCAAATTCCAGTGAAATGGGATCAGAGGTCTACCTTGTCCATGTATGCAGGAGTTTCTTCAATTATGTTTTCAAGTTGTATACTTTTAATTTTGTCTTACAAGATGGACAAAAGTGACGACGACACTTTTCTTAGTTCTGGATCATGGATTGGGTCTAGCTAGTTCCCGATAGCTTCAAAAATTTCTTTATACATAAAAAACATAGTCAAGCATAAACCCATTTTTCAGCCAAAAAATTGTAGCAAGCATATTTTCTAGTAAAGCACATCTTATTTTAACGGGAATTAGTTTATCTAGTAGAATTTCAGTGCATTAAATGGATAGCCTGCATAAATTTTGACTTGACTTTGCGGCTCAGCGAGCCATCAACCATAAATCTCCCCATGCTTCAAAGTTGACAAACCCATTACGTCACGTACATGTCTACTACGCACATGTAGTTGAGTTCAGGACGTTTGTACATGTAATTGCATGTGCAATCCGAAACTAGAAAAATGGAATCTTTGGTACCGACCTGTAATTTTTTCAGGTGTTGATTTTTTTTGTGTGTGATTTTTGACAAACCGTCAACAAACGTCAAAGCACAGATCGGAAATTTGGCCCAGAATTCGTTTTCTCGAAATTTTCTGGAAACAAAATGTGTACTGCAAGACTTTTATTGTACCACCTCAAAAAGAAGCTGTCTATAGTGTTATGCTGCAGAATAGCAAAAAGGTGGGTATTTATTTCAGGCAATCTGGAACTAGGAAAACAACTGTAATTACTGAAAGCTTGGAGACCATGTGGGGCAAAAACTTCCTTGTCAGGGAACTGAAAATGAAATTCGGGCAACCAGATTTTAGACTCCCCTGCCCAAAGGGCAACTACATTTTTTAAAATTTCGCAAGCCCATGTCCTAAAAAGTGACATTTTAGCTAAGAGAATTCTGAAGCATTTACTTAGAAAACACTTAGGTTCTTCAGACAAGTCTCATAGGTTTGTGCACAGGGCCTCAAGTGTTGTCCATATACATGTGTAGAACTCTTTCAGAGATGAGCTTCAATCTAATCTTGAGGCAGGGCATGGTGTTTGGGTATTTGATTTCGATTTTAGAAAAGTTTGGTGTGATACATTGGCTTTCCTACTCTGGTTTTTAAGCAAAGAACTCCACCGGCACGACTTTAGTCAAAGCCATTTTGACTGTGGAAAACTGCATTGTCCTGGTCAAAGTGGAGGCAGCTGGTTCAATAAAGTGTACAGAAACACTTTGAAAGTAATTTTAGACCCTGGGCATGGGTGTGATGCATATTATGTCAATTAACTGCAATAGTTTTGATGAAGACAGCAGGTATAACTGACTGTTTTTCCCTCAAATAATTATATTGCTGTAAAAATTGTCACCTACATTTGAGGGCTTGTTTGACCCCGAAAAACTCCATGCCCCAGGTTGCCTCTGTGGTGTTGTGTGTGTATCCTAGAGCTAAAAACTATAGAGTGTTAACTTTTTCTCTGCGGCAGAGAAATTTGACACTGTTCTGAGTGCAGGCATTTGAATCCATGTGTGTGTTAGTAGAACATTTGAAATCAAAGTGAACACCAAATTATGTATTTTAAATGCAACGCTCAAGTCCAACATACATGAACGCCAGCGCGTCTTTTGAATAAGAGGCACACGTACAGAGCAATGGCACACGTGTCTTAGGCTTGCGCGGTACTCCCGGTTCCGAGTGGAATTGCGATTCCCCCAAATAATTGGAATCAGTAGATCCACTTTTGTGAAGAATGGGTACCCACCTTCTTCGGTTCCATATTCAAAGAGCCAACTCCAAACATCAAATCCAAATCCAGGTCACTGCTCAGGCAGGCCTACCACGCGCACCAACGCATCAAGTCCGAGTCACCACTTCGGCCTTTGAGCCTACCTACTGCGCCCGCGTGTACAGTATGTACTGTACATTGCATCGTACACGTACAGTGTACATGTACCAACTCACATGTATAAATTAAGCGCACTGTACATTTAGCAGGGGGAACCTTTCCACACAAGGAAAAATACGTACACAAATAAACTGTAAAATACCCTTGTCTCTGGGTACCAAACCACATTGGTTATTGCACGCACGGGGCACAAAGTGAACTTTGGCCATTTTTCGATACTCAACATCGTCGGCGTCTCACACTTTGTCCCCGAAATTAATCCCCGATTGTGAAGCTGAAGTGTTTAAATTAATGAGTTACTGTAATTTTTGGCTCTCTTGCATCTTATTTGATGTTTTGTGGTACTGGGAGTCTAAATATTGCATTTACAGCTTCAAAGTCAGGTACATGTAGTAAAAAAACGGATGAAGCCTAAGACAGAGCCGAAATTGAGTATTGGAAAATGGCCAGATTTGACGGCCAGAAGCTCAAAGACTGTTTTACATGTGGCTGTGACTTCAACATTTACGATTCACATATATGACACCTGGCAAAATCGTTGCCGGAACTTGTATGAATGATGCATCAGGGTGCTGTGCACCTCGTCATACACGGAATAGTTAAGGAGGTGATGTTCATGTCTTATTCCTACAGTAGTTCTAAACTTCTTACTTGATAGGCGATAGCCGATTCCATACATGGACCAGAGCAATGGTAATACTTACAAGATAGCAGAGGTATCGGAGTTTGATGTACCCACTGTGGACAAATGACCAATTTATACATGGTCCATGGCCATTTACGATACGTTGGCACATGTTCAATAAACTTGTACATGTGATCCGGTCCATTAAGTACCACGGCATGGTTGACAATTCCATTTGTATGGGTAAAGTTACATGTACACGTACTTGCAAGGGCAAATCGGTTGTTGTTCTGATTGGATTATTAAATGAATATACATGTACGTTGAATGGGAAATAGTGCAGTGAGTTGTACAAACATGTTGTAGATTTATTTCAACTACATGTATGACTAGTCTGTTAAGAGGCAAAAAGAAAATTCAAAATACCCACTGTGGATAATCTTAAATCCTAAAGACCAAGAGCTGGTCTGTTGTGCTGTTTGTGTACGTGTGTGGCACCAGCGTGATTCGGCAGCAACAGATTTTTAATGTGTTTTATTAAACCTTATTTTTCTGTATATCTTTTGGAGCCAGTTCTAACTCGGAATCGCCATTCTTGGCTGGAGCCGGAACTGGCTCTGAGAATTCTGGAGCCGCCCAAGCCTAATGTGTGTTTACATCCATAGTTGATTATTTTGAAACAAATGTTTTCCTAACATTCAAGAAAGGTTGTCCAATTTTGTTTATGTGTCTTTCAGTGGCTGTCTTTCAATGAGTAAGTTCAGCTAAATTAGTCGTGTGCTTCGATTACTGACAAAATCCAATTTAAAAAAGGTTGCAGCAAATTCATGTGCAGCGCATGTATAAAAAAATATATGCGTATGTGTGACTGTGCATTCAGGTTATTTCTGTATCGGCTTTGTTGACGCATCATTTTAGAATCCAGATGCAGATATGCAAATAGCCGTACAAAAGCCATGCAAATTTCAAGTATTCCATAAGTTTGAGCACAGACGTGGATGTGCCTGCGGCCCTGCAGGCATCACTTTGCGGAAGCGACTTAATACTAGCCCGTGAAACCTAGTGCGCTACTTTTTTTCAGTAGCTGGGGTGACCAATGATTCATGAGGAGGGGACAATGCAATACACCATTTGAGACATTTCAAAAACGGAATCCATTAAGTCGCTTCGATAGCTTAGTTGGTAGTGATTTGAACTACNTTGATGCAGAAAGAGAGTCCAAGCATGAACCCTCTAAGAGTCTTGAGAAAAATAGCAGACCAGGTTTCACGGGTTAGTATCTACATGTAGTCACTTCCTCACTTTGCACACGAGTCAGTGCTTTAGTTTTACATGTAGCTCTATGGTGTGTATACATCAATGTGAAATGGCATGTACAATGTAAATAAGCTACATGTGAATGCATGGTTGTGCCATCTGCATGGTAGTGCAGTTTGTTTTTTGTCCCTTTTGCACTCCATCATTTCTAGGGGTGTGCATCCTGAATGTCAAAGGGTTACTTATTCTACGTTGAAAATCAAATGGTTACTTGTTCAACATTGAATGTTGAACTTCAAACGAGGAACTAACTTCACATTGGTTGTCAGACCATTGATCTTGTTGGCAGGCTTATTCCGTAATTGAAATCTAAAAAACACTCTTTGAGTATTCAACATTTTCTTGATACTGATTGCTTAATAATTACTATTGTCAATTCCAGTGTTCTAGCTAGGACCATTTTAGTGCCGGGAAAATTTTTGGATTATTGAGCACAGTGAGCGGATTTCTCACAGCCCATGGCTAGGTTTTTAGGGGAATATCAGAAGGGATTTCCCCCTTTGTCATTGTGAAGGCATGTTTACAATAATGCTTTCACAATCAGCCTCTGATTTGTGAGAAATATATTTCTTAGGTCTTTACTTACTTGTTTAAAATTGTAAAATAGTGCAAAACTGCAACTTTTTAAGCTTGAAATATGATCAAATCGGTACATTTTCAGCAATATTTCAGTTAATTTTTTTTTGTATCGTAGTCTTTGTCCCTTTAATTTGTTTAAAGGAAAGGTTTTAAATAGGTAAAAGACCTGATGTAGTAACTACCAAGAACAATAGCTTCAAAAATAATCCATATGTGATTTATGATAAAATCAACTGTCATAATGAAATCACAGACCATTTACCCAGGGATGTGCAACTTAAGCTCAGAACTAGTTCAGTGCGTGTTACGGCCGGCACAATATCAAAGCAGAAATTAAATTTGATTATGTAACACTTTCTCTAATAATGAAACATATATTCCTGTCTACCACTTTGTTTTCTTGTAATATTTTAAGTCGGGGTACACCCTGTCTAAAAATATGCTGCTCAAGATATTTCATCCTATACATTCTGAGAAAAGTGTACCACAAAATTGGGGAATTTTGCCTCATTTAAACTTCATTTCTGCTTGAAATCGATAAATGAAGAAGATTTATTCATCGAAACAAATAGATTTAAGCACTTCGTCGGCGCGGCGTCTTGACATAACCACGGCTGCACTGTACATGCTGCATGCTGCAACACGTGTCATGTGGTCGCGAGTTTTCTCGAGAAAAGTCGAGACCGCCTGCGGGGGTAATAGCAATCCGTAACATGCATGGAACCAAGGTCGCACATTTGTTTGCACTGGGGACGCTCCCAGTTGGCGGTTGCACATCGCTGGGTAAATGGTCCGTGATGAAATGAAACCAATTTTGTCTCTACACTGCTCTGAACTAAACTGAACTACAGTGTACATGTACATGTAGGTTTGCATACCATTGGAAGTGTGGGATACCATGCAACCTGGCTGAGCAAGTGATAATGTAATCTTGCTTTCAATCTTGAAGTTTCTTCTGGAATTATTCCTGTACAGGACACAGATTAGAGGAGATCAGAGTAAGGGCACTGCACAATATCCTGAGCAAAATTGAGCATGGAATAATATGTGAAGCAGACCTTCTACAACAGCAGCAGTTATATATACAGCTGTTAGAATGGTTTAATTATGACAAGTGCTCACACCAGCTGGAAGTTCTGCAACTCATCCGACAACTGACAAAGGTATCTTTGACATGAAACACAGTAACATATACACATATTTACAGGTTCATGTGTCCTGATGTGTGAGACTAAAATGACTTTACATACTACTAAAAATGTTAGTATGTTATACGTTTAAAACTTCATTAAAATGAATGTAGCAAAAATAGGTTACAAGTACAAAATATTGATTTAATGTCTGTGACACTTATCTTGTAGCACGATTCAGCTGTAAAGCAGTTTCTACAGATTGGTGCAGTTGACTTCCTTTCCAAGCTTCGGGCCAATTGTGAGGATGGCTTACATCCCGTCATAGATGACATCCAAGAAAGTCTCCTAAGCTTACGGAGTCATGAACAACTAATGCACAGAAGGGAATGTATCTTCCAACACCATTCCGTACTCAAGAAAGGTATGTTTTTATCTACCAAAGTTTCCTGCACCTTTCAGATACGCTCTTACTTGCTCAAGTTGTTAAATGTCCATGACTGCTCAGAATTATGTTTCATATTGAATGAGAGGCTTGCTTAGCACCAAGGAGAGATGTTCTCTATATTACACTATTAATAAGGGAATAAATATGAACTTGGCTAGTCTTAGATGTGTGTTTAAAACTGACTAAGCACATATTTATTCACATTCACAAATACCGTTTTAGTCAGAGAGTCATAAGAAGTCAATATCCGATTTTCCAGGGATTTTCATCAAGAATTTTTCTTTCATTTTTCCAAACACCCCGTCTATTTCATGGTATATTCCTTGTGCAAGTAGTCCAAAAGAATCTCCATGTAGTGTTTTTGCGCCCGTTGCGAGTTCTGCACACACAGACTCTTGACTAATAGGAATGGATTAAACTGTCTCGTATTCAGGTGCCAGCATGTTTTTATGCAGCGGGTATTATCAAATCGCAGCGGTTATTATCAAATGTTAATACATGGTCACGTTGCACTTTGTTGAATAGGGAAACTGTCAAAGGTATAAAAAAAAATTTATGAATGACTGTTTACAAGTGCAGTGGTAAAAATAATTTAACGGTGGGACTTATTCCTTGGTAATTCTGCATGATGTTTGTATCATTTTGCAGAAAATGCAAGTAACACCCTGGAGGACAGGCAGCTTAGCTGTGGTGTTATGAGGAAGGCAGTTGATAATCAAGGCTACTTTCCTCAGACATCCCCCAGTGTAAGCAAGGGTGTACATACAAATGACCGTATCGCTTCAGTAAATTCAGGTACAGTATTAAATAGGGATCGATATTTTATCTGCATTTCTTATAATTTGGATTTTCAGGTTATTTAGGACTCTGGAACGGTCAATGAAATCTAGGCAATCCTGATGTTTATCAGCAATACATGTATGTTCAGACACGTTTACACTGTCCTCCATGCACTGCGACATCTGGAATGTGTTAATTAGATTTCGTCCCAAATCATGCACAACACCTTTTCTCTAGGCGTGTAACATGAAGAGATGGGCAAGATTCTCCTGATAATTTGTGTTGTACTATCATGTCCAAGCAGACAATAAATTGATAGGACAAGGATTAAAATTGCCCCTTTGTTCCAGCCAGTTGCATGTTTGTTAGTTATGTCATGTGGCATGAGACGATGTGTGGCAGACTGTTAGATTAATTGCATGGTGGTATGGAAAGACAACCTTTCTTAATGGAGGGTCTCAAAAGTTATGAAAATGATTATATGATGTAAGCATTACGGCGCATGAAGCATTTCTTTCTCAAGATTTTCCTGAACTGTACATTTGCATTTACTCTTTAGGTTGGCATAACTCAGGCCTTTTTGATGAGCAAACGGTGAACCTCCGTACAGCATTCTAGCCAGGATGAAATTAAAGGATAGGTGCATCTTCCCGACTTGCCGGATGCAGGGGGGGCCTTGATATTATTTGACACCTGAGGGCGCTGTTTAACATTGATTACATTAAACATAGCAGCTTTGCTTTAAGTTCCCATTACCCCTATTCAGTCATTGTAAAAAGCAATTATCAGTTTGAGACAGACTTCTACCTTTTTTCTCTCCTTTTTGGGGAGGGGGGCTTCACTTTGTGTTTTTGTTGTGCTTTTGCTAAGGAAAGGGGCAAATGTTTAATAAACTATGGGATATCTGATCCACATTTCAGTACTTCATAATAGTATTTTACATGTGCTTGTTCTTGTTTTAATGTGCATCAATGAAAAATGACTACAAAACAAGCTTATCAGGCCTACACGGAACACCTCAGTTTTCATTTCATTTTGAAAAACTTTTCTTCTTCGGGTTTTAATCCAACATGTGTGAATATTTTCTGTATACAAAAATAGACATGCCTACTTAAAAATCAACTTAATGCACCTAGGCCCCTTCCATCATTTGTACTCTACTTCCTGGGCTCTAAAACTTTTGTCAAAAAGAATATGTTACCATCATTCCATACTTAGTCTCGTTATCGATATCACAAGATTAGATGTTTGTGTCGAAAATTAAAAAAACTAACGAACATACACTACCAAAAAAAAAACGATGAACGATACCAAAAATAGCAAAAATGCTCTGTTCCACACTACAATGTGAAGATAACCAGCACAGTTGCGAAAACAGAACAAGACTGCATGGATGGGCTGCCATGTGGTACAGAATCATGCACATACCACCTCCAAGGTCTTACCAAAAATCGTCCTTGTTAACCAAAGCATATCAGAATAACCATCTATATAAATGCATTTGAGAAGAAACTACAGAGAAAGGAAGACCAAGTTTTGTTACAAGTTAGTTGTAGCTTACTTTGATAGTTTTTGAGGCGACACCATTTGAAAGGTTCGGCCATGCCATCACAGCTGTGCACAATCTGGAGCTGTAGTGTGTCTCCTAGCCCATCTACTCTTGCTATTAATTTGTCAGCGGCGCGGCGGGAACCAGTATTGTGTATGCTGCACATACATGATGTCTCCACAGAGCTTGCTGTGCTGTGGAAACTTGTGCGTGTTTACGATGTGTGTACTGTGTCGTGTTTTGGAAGTTTCGTTAGATTTCAGTGCATATTGTCGATATTCTGGTAACTTTTTGACAGTGTCTTTGATGAATTCTTTTTTCAAATCTGATTGCAATGTTTCTTAGACTTAATATTAGTATTCCCCGGGAAAATAGAAGCGTATCGATTACGTATCGGGGGATTTTCAGGGTGTCAGGGTTTTTGCTCAGCGTATCGGCCTGATATGCTTTTGAATGCCTGGCTAGAACACTGCCTCCTTGTAGAAAACAAAAAGATGCAACGTTTCACCCATATTGTGATTCTTTATGACTTACGGGTCATTCCAGATATATTTTGGGGGCTCAATATTGCTTTTTCCCCCTGGATTTTCACAATATCAGATTAAATACAAGTACTAAATAAGTTTCATGTTTTAGAAAAGTTTTTCTGAACAGCACAGTACCAGAGGGCAGTCTGTAAGTGCCAAACCTCTTGCTGTTGTTTCAGACCCTGCTTAGACCCCCCTCCCAGTGGTGTAGCCAAGGGGGCTTAGGGTGCACACTTTCCATTGAAAAAATCAACCTGTGGAAATTTGGGGGAAAATTGCCATTGAGTAAATATTGGGATTTGTGTCTCCCCCTGGATATGTTATTCCTTTCCCCCACAACGTTTATGACATTTTGCAAATTGATGTTAAATAAAATGTCAGGAATCAGTCATACATGTATTTGTTTCTGTGAAAGGAAATTCTGATTTAGAAATTGCACATGTGATTTGCATTTGATATTTCCTCATTTAATGTGCAGTAGAGGTTAAGATATGTCATGCATAAATCATTGGATTTGTTATGTGTCAAATGTGTCATTAGTTTAGTGCCATAATACACTTGGTAAAAAAAGTAATGCAAGTTGATCAAATACATTTTTAGTGTGTATATCTAATGCTTTGGTGATCAATTTTAAATAGCTGTAATATCATAGTGGATGCCTGTATTTTCAAGTGCAGGTCTTGGGTGACATACTTCACTGAACCTAAAAATGGTGGTCTGACATGTTTTTAATGAATCGCATGTTTTGCTTTGATAGGTTAATTTCCTTAGTATTTTAGATGCTCTTGTGATAGCTAATGGTTCATAGAGTCCAGAACTGAATTTTTTCAGCAAACAGACTAAACACAAGAATGCCACGACTGAGTCAGTTTGACCGAGCCTGAGCTATAGGAATGGTTGACGTGAGCATATCAGTTGTGGATGTGGCAGCACATGTCCAAGTCCACAAGTCGATGATCAGTAGACTCAGACATAG